CTGTTGTCCTTTTGACTTACCAAATAGTATATATACTATAGGTATGTACCTCTACAAGCTTGCATGCATAAGTTGCCTGGTGAACAAACAGAGAGAGGGGCTAAGTGGCCAGAAGTTTGGCCTCAGAGGTTACAAAAGGCCCCATATTGGTTAAACGATGCCGAGGGTGATAACTATCAACTCAAAATTTTGCAGCGGATAGTGTTTCGTTGGAAAAACGCTGTATATGAGCTTAAAGTTATGGGTGTTGACTGGCCAAACGTGAGAAATGCCATGGACATGAGAGCTACATATGGAGGGTAAGTATTCATTTTGAGCTACAACTATTATCATAAGTATGATTTAAATTACATCTAGCTGTACTCCTAATAAAATGTCTATTATGAAAAATATCATTGATCATGAAGGGTTATTATCATTCATGTTGTGTGTGTAGATTTGCAGCAGCATTAAAGGATCTTCCTCTATGGGTATTTAATGTGGTAAATGTAGATGCTGTAGATACACTTCCAATCATTTATGAGCGAGGCCTTGTAGGAATGTACCATGATTGGTGTGAATCCTTCAGCACATATCCACGAACTTATGATCTATTGCACGCCGATAGTCTTTTCTCAAATCTAAAAACTAGGTACGAATGGAAGTATGGCTTTAATTTGTATCCTCTTTTTTACAAGACTGGACAAATTGCACATTATTAATTTGATTTTTTTATAAAATTTTGACTTCTCAGGTGCAAACTGATTCCTGTTATAGCGGAGGTGGACAGAATACTTAGACCGGGAGGTCATTTGACTGTCCGGGATGAACTTAGTGTCATTGATGAAGTGGAGAATTTGATAAAATCTCTAAACTGGGAAATAACCTCAAAAACTTCCAAAAACCAAGAGGGCTTGCTCTGTGCAAAGAAAAGCTTTTGGAGACCCGATTCATAATGTTAGTCAGATTAATATTTTCAAACAAACAACAAACAAAGCACTTGCTGTGATATGCAATTCGTTCTGTCTGTCATAGACCTTTAATGGGTTATGCTGAAAACTCTACTTTTCTATTGATATTGATGTACACCATTGAAAAAGCCAAAAAAAAAATTAGATGATGGCATTCATGGTGAAGAAGCTGTAGAATTAGTAATTCATCAAATGTCCAATGATGTAATACACTAGATTAAATAATTGAAACATTGGCAAAATGGTATAGCCCTGTAAGAGACGTTTTTAATCGTTTGATATTAACTCCACTTAAAAATTATGTACCAAGCAAAAACAAGAGAAATAATTCTTTCCAAGCATTGACAAGGGCATCCACTTGACCCATATGTATTGAGCTGGGAAATAAGATGCAATACTATAACAAAATAAACAGGGCTCAGAAATAAAAAGAAGAAAAAAAACACCAAACCTACTGATATTCAGCATAAGGACTGAGTAATTGAATTGTAGAAGTTCCCGAACCCCAAGAGCTATATGAGCTCTAAGGAACTAAAAACTCCTAATCATTTATATAAGCATTAGATAAATTCACTTGACCCATATATATTAAGCCAGAGAAATAAGTAACCAATGCTAAATCATTCCTACCCATAAAAAGCATAAACTTATAGATAAAAAAAACTGGGTCAAATATCAAACTCCTTGTTCATTTCTCTCACATGAAAGAGAGCACAAATTCTTGAGTTATGAAGAATATCTCAAGCTGAATTATAGCATGCAAATATTAAAAGAGGAAAGAATTGTAGGAGTTCCCGAACCCCAAGAACTATAATTGAGTTCTAAGGAACTAAAAACTCCCTATCATTTATATAAGCATTGAGTGATGTATTCACTTGACCCATATGTATTGAGCCAAAGAATTAAAGTAAACAATGCTAAATCATTTCTACATACAAAAACATAAACTTACACAGCCATAAGAATCTAAACTTATTCTATTAAGAATGATTAATAAGTTCAAATGAACTTGTAGGAGTTCCCGAACCCCAAGAACTATATATAAGTTCTAAGGAACTAAAAACTACTCATAATTTATATAAGCATTGACAAATGCATCCACTAAACTCATGTATTGAGCCAGAGAATCAATCAAATAAGCAATGCTAAACTGTTTCTACCAATAAAAACACAACCTTACAAACACTTAACACTTAATAAACGAAACAATCATAAATTTGTTCAATTAAGCACGTTAAATACGAGGGAAATTGTAGGAGTTCCCGAACCCCAAGAACTATATAAGAGTTCTAAGGAACTAAAAACTCCTAATAATTTATATAAGCATTGACAAATCTTCCACTAAACCCATATGTGTTGAGCTAGGGATCAATTAAGTAAGCAATGCTAAAACAAAATGCTTAAATCTCATAAATCAAAAATCCCAATAGCCACAGTTCCTGCAAATAAAATCATATAATTCATTCACTAATACTTTGCTTCCGGCTTTGTTTTACTCACAAAATTCAGATCTGCAGCATTAGAAGTTGTCAAATAATCAACCACACCAAATCCAAAAACAAAAAATAAATTATATATAATAATTAAAATGAATTAATGTATGATAATGTTGAGTATTAAAAAAAATAGATACAAACAGGTATTATTATTACAGATTTACAACAAAAAAAACCCTTAAATTAGGGTTTAGGGTTAGGATCCGTTTGTTTGTAAAGCTTATCATATTCTTCAAGCTGGTCATAATACACATCCCAAACACATCGAACGCAACCGCTACCGCAACAATCGTCGGGATCTGGTTTCTCCGGCGGCGGAGGAACCTCCTTAACGGCGTTGGAATCTGGTTTGGGTTGAATCGGATGCGGCGAGGGAGTATTGGAAGCTCCTACAGGTTCGGCCATGGGATAGGGTTGGAGGAAGAAATAGGGTGAGGTTGTTTGAAGGCGAGGGTTAGTGGTGGTGGTGGATATGGTGTTACGAGGGAAGAGTTTCTGTGTGAAATCGTAAGCGTATGTTCTCATGGTGAATTGCGCCGCCACCAATTCATCTTTGTAAGAACCACAATGGTGAATGTTAGGAACCACTCGTGGCCTTTTATACAACCCTGATTTCGTTTTTCTTATTATTGCACGCTTTTTACTTTATTTGACAAGCTTTTTTTTTTAACTGCCATAAAAAAGAATTTACTGCTAGATTAGATTTCGAAATCCAATGCGGATGATAAGGTTTCAGTTTGACTCTTACAAACTAGGGTTTTGCTGCAACTTTAAAGATTTTGTTGTATGTTGATATATGCAGCTTGTGAAAACATGTATTTTGAAAAGATAATTACAATTACTAAAATAAATTATTAAATTCTACATAATTTATGCAGTAAAGATTCCATACTTTACAATTAAGATACTCCATATCTCATAATATTTGAATCGTGAGTGAGTGGTTTATAAAAAAAGTAAATTGTGGATAAAATTAGTATTATTTTAGGATTAAATATTGGACTGGCAAATGGGTTTACATCTGTTCCGTTTAGTGTCGACTAATAAAAACTTGGGAAAAAATAGGATAGAGTGGACATTGTTAAGGATGCGGGCCTAAAACTTATCTCTGTCCCGCAAAAAAGTGAGAGTGAGGCAGAGAAAGTCCGCGGACATTACACATTTTTAACACAAAAAATTATATAAATGTGCGTGTCCGCAAAAGTTCGCGTAAAAAAATGGGGGTGGGGCAGACACATTAGAGGGTGGGGGTCTAAACCTTTGCCCGCCCCGCAGTAAAGTGCAGGAAAATAGACATGCTCAATGCGTCGGGTTTGTTTTGTCACCCCTATTTAAATATATCATTGTCCTTGCAAAGCGAATGATATTATTGTTTTTCTTTATTTATTTACTGGCATGTCATTATTCTTTAACTTTAGTCAATAAACTTTACTCATCGGCTTAATTCGTTTGTTTTTTGTCAATAAACCTCAACTTTAGTGTATATTCGGTATAGTTTACGTTATAGTGTATTTATTGCATTATTGTGTAAATATCATTGAGTTTAATTGATTTTATCTCATTTTTGTAGGTATCCAAGCATTGATATTTAGGCATTTTTAGATAGAGTATTGAATAAGTTTTCCAACGCTTCCGACCGGACGCGAATCGGAGTTACGGTTCAAAAGTTATGGCCGAAATAGTGTAGAATGTTGTGCTGATTTTTTCAACTTTCTGTCATTCATCGTCGGGCGACGCTTTTGGTCGTCTGGCGATGCTAGGCAAGTTGTAGCGTGGAAAAAATGTTGTTTTGGTCGTCGGACGATGCTTTTTGATTGTCGGGTGATGCTGGACAGTTAGAAATGCGTATTTAGGTGTAAAAACATACTTTTTTAGGTATGGTTTTGGGTATTTTTGATCCCAACTCCATCATCCTTCATTTTTTGATAGTTATAGCTTAGAAAACAACAATGAAGCTTGCATACGGATGATTCGGGGTGGATTGCTCTTCAATTGACACTGACAACCCGGTAGATTTGTTGTTCATTTCTCTTCTTCTTTGTGTATTCTTTATGTGTTGAGTTTGTATATGTATTTACTATGAACTTATGTATATTTTTCGCCCATGGCGTTATATTAAACTTGCTTTATAAATCTTTATCGATTGTTGTCCTGGATTTTTACTCTATGCAAGGGATTTGAGTTGTTATATACATATATTGCTTAGATTCTTATCTAGGATGATTATCTGTTAGTTTCTGAACTCTAGAGATAAATTTAGAGTTGACATCTACTTGGGTATCAGAGCTTAATGTCTCTATGTGGTTGTGTTGTACTGAGAGATCGTCAGTATGATTACATAGTTGTCTTTTGTGTTGTTGAGGAGGTAGAGAAATCATTTCCTTAGTGATACAACCGGCCTCTCAATTTGGATTATAAATTACTTAGGTTGTGAGTGAAACGTAGTGACATTGATGAGTATTGTTAGGTTGAATGTAACTGGTGGGTAGATTTAAGTCTGTGATGAGTAGATTATATGCAGGCTTGATAAGTTCTTCCTTAGTTTTTTTCTTTTGTTTACATTTTTTTCTGTTGATAAATTTTTTTTTATAAACCAATTTAAACCAAACTCATTAACGAGAGATTTGTCGAACGGTAATTCAATAACTAATATCTGTGGACCCGATAAATTCCCAGATAAATATTTCTAAAACTTTTGTTGCTTGCCGCTACACCGTTCCAACACTAACCACTAGACTAGAGTTTTCATTTGATAATAATTACCTCAAAACTTTTATTATTAGAAACTTCAAAACCTGAGTTGTTTGCAGAACCCGAGTAGCATCTTACATCATCACATACGTTCAAGCTTGAAAGCATTTATAGGTTTCACTTCTTTTGAGGTGCTTTTTCTTCAGATCTAATGTATGTCCTCGATTTCCTCCATCATGTGTTTCATTTCTTCGGAGGTGGTTTTGGATCCAATCTTTGAAAGCATTTCCTTCATCTCGGAGGAAGAGATCTTTATGTCGTTGTTTTTGTTGAACTTGGTGAAGAGTGTAAAACCCTATCAATTGTTCCAATTTTCCAGGTTTACATTTAATTTCTGATTCAACGTATTCAATACAAACTTCGAAATTGGATTTCAACCTTTCACTTAATTTCATTAAATAAATCAATAAATAAAATAAAAACAATATAAGAAGATGAAGGAGCAAGGAGTGAAAAGTGGAATTTATCGAATGTATCGTGGAGTATAATCAATTGAAGTGTAAATGGATGGGTCGATTCCATTGAATTCTAAGAAGGGGAGAAAATAATTTGGTTGTGGCATCGTTGGAGCACCGTGTTCCATGGTTTCTTGAGGGTGGTCGGCTTATTCGGTGAGAGAAACATGTTTTATTTTGTCGTTCTAGGATACGGCACGTTATAAACAGTAGAAAATGAAAAGGCTTGAGAGATGGTTGTGATGTTGCTCGCTGGTGTTGCAGAATTTTCATACATGCTACGGTTTTTGGGGGTAGGGGATGATAGGCTACCTAGTAGGTTCTAATAAATTCAGATTTTGAAGTTTTTAATAATAAAGGCTTTGAGGTCATTATTATTAAACGATAAGTTTTGGCCCAGTGGTTGGGCATTTGGTATTAGTGTGAATGTTCTTGAGTTTGAATCTCACTGGAACCAGTATTTTTGATATTATATCTATGTTTTCATATAAAAGGTAAAGATTATGTGTGCAAGTTGTCAGTTAAGGGGCCAAAGGGACGGAATCTTCTCATTATAAAGGGGGATCCAAAAAAATTATAGGAGGGTAAACCGAATATCGCTCACTTTACGGGAGATGTTGTATATTTAACTCATCATTTTAATAGTGTCTTGGATAGGTTTAACATAACTATCTAAAAATCTTTTGGGTGTAGGATTGTTTCTCTAAATTATCATTTTAATTACTGGTCTTAGTCCATTAGTATATAGATCCATTAAAAATGATTTGACATTTAAAATGTAAATTGTGACATTAATAGATATCAATAATCATTATATTTTCTTTATTTTTTCTTTGTTTTGTTTAAACCCTAATTTCATTTGTAATTGTACAATTTGTCATAATTGGTGCTTTCATCTCATTCTTATATGTTTCCTAACTCTTCATACCTCACCTTAAAAGACAGAGGATTATCTACAAATCACTAATCAACATCTTGATGAGCTTACCACTCACAATCACAACCTTGAAACATCCATGAAAATCAACAATCAGACCATTTATATGCATTGGGTCAGTTGGATAGCATCATTGACGAGGCTAAATGTGTAGCACTTGCAATCCTCAAGACTCAATAAATTTATGTCATGGTCACAACCTCATCACATGATAGAGTATATATATATATATATATATATATATATATATATATATATATATATATATATATATATATATATATATATATATATATATATATATATATATATATATATATATATATATATATATATATATATATATATATATATATATATATATATATATATATATATATATATATATATATATATATATATATATATATATATATATATATATATATATATATATATATATATATATATATATATATATATATATATATATATATATATATATATATATATATATATATATATATATATATATCTTCCTCGCTCTTGAACTCTCATATCTGGAAAAAATATGAGTAAATTTTCCCTTATATTCTGAGTAATCCTTGCCTTATTTAAAAGAAAATTGAAAATAATATTTTTCTTATCTCTTAAGTGTGCATAATATCTTTGAGAATCAAAGTCTTTCATAGAGATGAAATTGATCTCCGCATTTTTAGTTCCAACAACATTAGTGGCGTAAGCACCCCATAACAACATTTTCTTATTTTAAATAATCATGTATGTATTGAACCTAACAGTGATAGCAAAATGAGCCAATGCCAATCCATCATCCATATGATCCATGAACAAGGTTAATTTTGGTAACCATATTAATAAATTATTCTTCTGTCAAGTTAGCCTACAAAGTAATGCATAGTTCATTCTTTAGACGCATGCCTTATGATCTAGATCTCACAATTATAACAAAAAGAAATGTGAGTTTGGGTTATTTCTTAGGGAGTTGGTTCTTTCTTATCAAGTTAACCAATTTGATGGTTGAATTTTTTTTTCCAGGGGATAGATGTTGGACACGTTATCTGGGATAACTTTTTTAACTTGTTAAACCAGTTTTAATATAATGTGACAGAAACAATAAATCAAAGTAAAAACAGTAAAGAACACAAGAGAATTGGTAACTCAATGCAATGTAACCATACTTACGTCACGACAACTTCCAACCCAAGAAAGGAAATTTACTCTTCAATAGAACCAGTACAACGTGTCTTAGATGAACAAGCTTTTGTTCAATGACACCTTCTTAATTCTACCATAGTGTCTTTCTATTTAAAATTCTCCCTAAATATGAGAACTCCTCTCACTTTCTCTCAATCATTAACCCTGGTGATCAACATTAATAATCA